AAAATAGGAAAATTTTTTTGATGTTGTTATAGTAAATCGTCATTTAATTTGACTTTTTTAATGAAATAAAATTTGTTCTGGGCTGCGATTCGCCAAGGCTACAATCTTAGCCGATTCTGAACAATAAATGCTTTATCAAAAAAGTAAGAAAGAAAAAGTCAAAGTGATTTATCAAATAGTATTTGTGCAAATGGTACTTGGCTCTTTGCCTCGTAGTCCCTTCAAACCTTATTAGAGAACATTTTTCACTTTTTTTTATTATTATTTTATATTTTTGACAAATCAACAAATAAAAATATTCAGTTTCAATGTACTTTCCTTGTTCCTCTATAAATATTATGACGCAGTCAATCAGTTTTAGGGATTTTTTCTCATGTAAGCTCGGATTGCCCCTCTCCGAAATTTTCTAATGATCTCTGATTCATTTTGTTTTTGCATCAGTTTAAACACACAGATTCATTTTGTTTTTGCATCAGTTTGTAACACTGATTCATTTTGTTTTTGCATCAGTTTGTGACACTGATTCATTTTGTTTTTGCATCGGTTTGTAACACTGATTCATTTTGTTGCCTCAAGTAAGGTACATTTAGATTTGGCGTAGTATAGTCGTTTTCGGCTTTGCAATACCACTACATTCTTTCAATCCATTCCATTTTGAAATAGCAGAATTGGAAATTCACAATTGTCTTTTTTTATAATTTACTTTTTTTTATTTTATAAATACACCTTTTTTATCCTCTCAGTTATAATAGTGTCACTAACTTGGAAATGGGCAATTTTTTTTTCTTCACTTAGCTTTCTCACTTTAGTTAATGATCAGATCAAAATAATAAATATAAATAAGCATTAAAATTTAATAACTCGTGAATTATAAATTTTTTCTTGAAATTTTCGTTGTTGATTATTAATCCAATGCACTTTTTTTTTTAAATTAGAAATTACTATTTTTTATGTTAACAGTTTTATTGCCGTTTCTTTGATTAATCTTAACAGATTTATTATAATTTCTTAATTCAAATAAAAAGGACGTATGAAATATTAAACAAATGAAGGGCATTTTTTTTTCTGACTTAAATAAATAAATGATACAAAATATTTTCGAAAAATATCTGATCTCGCTCATGAAGGTCAAAGCCTTCGATTTATATAAATTGATTCCCATGAATTTAATTTTTGCATTGATTTACATTATAACCCACACTATTTTGATAAATTATGGTTTGTATTACTTTTCTGCTATTGTCTCCAAGAAAAAAAGATGCGTATTATCTTCAAAAAATGAACAGTTTTCGTCCTTTTTTGCTTGGTTATTTGTTGTGAAAATAAAATTCTGATTCAATTTATAGGCTAAATAATTTGCATACAATGTTATTGCCAGTCTTTCCTGACAAACCCTCGAATAGTTTGGGATATATTATCATATATTTATATTATATTTCTTTTTTTATCATTTTTCAAAATTTTTTTATTATTTATTTTTATTTAGTGATAATCTATTATTGAATCTTTTTTTTCTTTTTATGAATGCTATTTTTACTATCACACTAAATTTATAGGTCAAATTCATGTTTTGAAGGCCTTAATAGATAATATTTTCTTTTACCTAGTGTATTATAATTACCATAGTAAAATATACTTGTATTTTCATTTATTTTGTGCATATTGAAAATTTTATATCCATATTGATATAACTTAACTAAGAAACAATTTGCGACCTACTTAACCCTGAGACGTGGTGGCTCAGGGAATAGAGGGATCGCCCTCCAATGAGGTGACCTAGGTACGAATTTTGGCGGTGGCTGGTTGATACAAATTCTGCTTCCTCCTCTTACCGACTACAGTGCTGACATAAAATTTCCTCAGTCGTAGACGGGTCATGTGTTAGAATCCCCTTGCCGTCTGGTTAACCGAGGGAAGTTTTGTGGTTTCCCTCTCCATGTAACGCAAATGCTGGTTAGTTCCATAAAAAAGTTCTCTATGAAGGCTATCTTGTCCCACTGTTTGTTCCAGGAGTCCCCTTGCCTTCTGGGATGGGCTTAAATCACAAGGTTTCAGAGTTGAACATTGATAGTCATAAACTCAGAATTGAATCGGTTGTTCATAATAAAAAATTATTATTTTATTTCGCCGGTTATAAAATAAAAATAAAAAACATAAAAATAAAAAAAAGTTACATGTTACACTGGTATTACGCAGTTTATGAATTGAAAATCAGATAAAAGAAAACAAACGGTAGTCATATGAAATGCTGTGTACAAATGACTCAAGCGTTTCAAACAAAATCTATGAAATAGCTTTATAAAGTTTCATGGAATTGATTAATTCCAAAAAGCCGACAGTGCCATCCATACATGCCTTCGTTAGTCAGTCTTAAATTATCCCTCTTATTAAAAATTTGATGCTTTGGTTTTAGAGAAAAATAGAATTTTCGAATATAGAATAGGAAAGATTTTTCTCTTGTAAAATAAATTTCTATCTAGAATAAATAGGAATAAATTTCTATCTTCAACAATTGGATACCTGAGGGAGACGTCATCGTAGGTAAATCCTGGCGTTTGGTGATTCAGAAGCCAATCAGGTTCGACACACACGCGTGACGTCGCTCATAGGTATTCAATTAAATCTGATTTAATCATTTCTTGAGTTGCGAGTATCCGATTGTGTTAATTATATGTTAATTAATTTGATAATCAAGCAACAAAATTTCTGTAAGCTATTAGTTTTATTTGAAGATTTAAAAAAAACTGAATTATTGATCCATAACGTTATTATAAAAAAAAGAAGTTTTTTTTGAAGAAAAAAAAATGCAAAAAATTGTGCATGCTTGATTATAAAATTAGTAAAATAATTGTGCACAAACAACGAATGAATTTCAGTAATAAATCTTCGTATTTTGATCTGAATAAAAGAGTGATGCGAATTCTATTAATATTTCTTCCATTTCTGTTTAGTGTGCAGGACATAAAATGGTGAATTACGGAAAAATAATTGCTGAAATTTTATAGTCTATCATAACATTAGCCTGTATAGCTGTTTGAGAAAAGCAAATTTTTTTTCTTTGTTTACAATACGAAAATTTTCACGTGACGAGGAAAGTTTTGCAGTTTTAAGTAATTAGGTATACTGAGACATTTAATATATTCTGGACAATGGAGAATTGTAAAACAGATGATTAGGACTCACGGATCAAATAACCTTCAGAACCGATATCTGTTCTGTTCGTCTTCCTCTCCCTAAATGAAAAACGCAGTTTAAAAAGTTTTTATTGGGAGCTTTATTTTTCTTAATTGTTACTGTTTTGCCTTTAAATAACTGTGAGGATGATTTTGTTGTAGATTTGTTTCTAATAATCTATTTTGAAAAAGGAGTTTTTTATATTTATATATTTATTCAGAATGATAAAGCATTTTTTAAAATTTTTGTATCTTTTGCTTTTTTTCCCCTTTATATGTATAATTTATACTTTTTTAAAAATTAGTTTTAGATTTTTCTCCCATTTTTATGTATTTTGGGTGATATTTTTCAATTTAAGAGCATTTTTCTTACTAATTAAGTTTTTCCCTTATAACTTAGTTCAACTTTTGTATTCAATCTTTTTATTTTAATGTCCTCCAATGATTGATTTTGAATTAAGTTTTTCAAGATATAAAAAGTTACTTTTGGACAAGGCATTCTTTCAATTTTAAGAATATTAAAAATCATTTGATAATATAAAATGCTGTTCTGATGTTCTTGAAGATTGTTACTAAAAATTATCAAGATTCTTTATGATTTTTTCAGGATTTTTTACGTGTTATTTCATTTATGAATTATTTATTTTAATTATTATCTTATTTCTTATTATAAATATAATTTATGATATATGTTTAAGATAAGTTTTTCTAAAGCCCGTTTTCAAATATTTTTAAAGGAATTTTTTATTTTTGATGATTTTTAAAGGCTTTTTTTTTTGTTTGTTTTTTTTTGTTTGTTTTTTTTGCAATTTTTAAAATTTTTTAGGTCATTACCCTCCTTTAGGGGTGATTGAGGACCTCCTTTAGAGGTCCATTCGGGTGTACCTCGGAATTCCGGGTTTTTCGTATCATTCTTCCGGGTCTAAAAACTAGAAGCAGGGCATGTGATTTCACGCAAGTATTGCATCGTACCTCAAGACCATTGGTTTGCGGACTTCCGCGAATCAACAACTTATAATCCGCCGAAATTATGAAATTTTTACGAAATCCTGTTAAAGAGAAGTTTACATATAGTCCAGCTTTGAGGAGAACTCCCCCAGACTGAAAGTCTGGGGCTGTCTGCTGCTATGGCCACAAGCGAGAGCAAATTTCTTATGGTGGTGAAATGGAGGAAAGAAGGTGTTGATTGGTATACTCACGATGTCCTACGCTAGGACTAAGACATAACTATTCACCCCACACCCCTATTCCAAGTGACCTTTCCTCGTAACCATAGTACCCACCACGATGCGAGACGAGTGTCTGGAGCAGTTCTCTTGAAAGCCACACACGTGATTCTTTTGATCAATAAATTTTAGCTATTTTGAATAAAAATCCTTTTGAATTTTCGCGTTTTTAAAGCCCAATATCGCAGTTCGTATTCACGTGTTTTTAAAAAGTCCAATATCTCGCGATTTTAAAATCCTTGTAAGAAGTAAGATCTTCTTGAATTAATTACTATAAAGGTGTGATATTCTTCATTAGTAGGTAATTTAATTATGAATTTTAGTTCAAAATATTATGTTAAATATGAAGCATGTATGGTTTTTAAATTGATATCAAATTTTTGCACATGAAATTTTCAGGGTTTTTCACTTTGTTTTACAATTACCACTGATCCTTACCCTTATTATTAATATAATTTTTTGTCATTTAAAAAATGTGTAAAAATTAGCACAACTGTCATTTTTTTAAAAAAAAAATGCTTGTGAAGTTTAGTCCTTATTTATTTAGTTTTTTTTTCTGCTTATAAATTACATGCAATAATGTTCATATTTTAATTTTCAGTCCTTTAGGATTTACTCAGGTGGAACCTTCTTCACAAGAGTTTATTCCTAATCGAGCTGAATGGATTCGACCCAATATATTTCAAAGGCCAACTCAACAAGTAATTAATTCATTAAGAAATTATTTAAATATTAAAAATACTTTGTTGAAATTTTGTAAAAATTATTTGACTAGATTTAAGTATTAATTTTTTCTTTTTTAACTGTGTAACTTTTAAGTAAAGCAATTTTACTCTATTTCAGATAATTGAGTTTTATGTAATTCCTAACTTGACTTCTATCTCAAATGATTGAACCTTTAGTATCTAAATTAAAATACTGTTAAGGTCCGTTTTTATGATAATTCATGATAGCAAATGAAATTATCGTTGTGGCAAGTTTGTCGTTATAAAGAAATACACGTAATTTAATAGTACGATAATTATGTTATTCTAATAATTTAATATTAATATCCATAAAAAGAACGATAAAATGCAATAAACATAATTTTCCTTATAAAGAAATACACGTAATTTAATAGTACAATAATTATGTTATTCTAATAATTTAATATTAATATCCATAAAAAGAACGATAAAATGCAATAAACATAATTTTCCTTTAATTTTGATCTACTATTTTGTTTTAAAATACTTATAAGAGTAGGCTGTTTATTTATATTTTTTTCCGTGCAGATTGTAGTCTGTCTCCTATAAGAATGCTTTTCCAAATCTTAACAAGTTTCTGACTGAAGCAAATTAAACGAGTGATAAATGAATAGTCTTTTGACATTTTCCGTGCAGATTGTAGTCTGTCTCCTATAAGAATGCTTTTCCAAATCTTAACAAGTTTCTGACTGAAGCAAATTAAATGAGTGATAAATGAATAGTCTTTTGACATCATCGATAATAGTGATTGCAGATTTTAATAATAAGTTGTCAAGAGGGGAAACAGGGGGGTATGATAGGGTCAACAAATGTTCATTCTTTAGAAATGCACAATCGGCTTTTTAAAAATAGCTGCAGAATTTTTTGCTTTGTTGGAAAGAAGATAATTTTATTTGAGGTGATAGTGTTAATACACTAAATTTCACATGTGTACACTGTATTCCAATAACTATATTGCTGATTCTTTGAACAAGTAATAAAAATTGAAAACATGTTAAGTCTACAGCATTTTAAGTTATTTCTTCTGCAATTTTGTTGTTAATTTAAAAATATGGGGTTGGCAGGTATGATTATGTTTTTACAATAATTAGGAATACAATATGCATGTATATATTGATTGTTCTGATGTTTAAAATAAAACCTTAAATTACAGGCAGATCTTCATCATGACTTTCGAGAGAGAGGCAGACTGTCCTATAATAGAGTGTTCAACAATGTCCGCCCAAGATATGACCTTTACAGTCATGTAGATCAGCGGACATTCTCAAATCAAAATTATCAACGCCTTCCTTACAAGATGGTACGAATTAAAAATCCTGTAAGTAAATACTTCATCTTTATTTAGATTCTTTTACTAAAATAATAATTACTGTAATAATATTTATGATTAACCATTTGCCTCTCTTGCCCATTGTTCCGACATGTTGCCATGGATCGTCTAGAGTCTACAGTATTCCCGAATGCAGCCCCAATGGATGTGGGACGGGGTTAAGCTTTGATTTATGATTAACCAGTTACCCATATTTTTTAATCTGTGTATGTTTTATTTTTGAAAATAAAAATAGGGAGATGGAAATATTTTTGCATATAACATGATTATGACTTAGTCTATTACTTTATTATTTGATCTAATGGTCTTTAACACATTTTAAATGTCTCTCAAGGAGTCAAATTGAATATAAGCTATTGATATTTTGAAGAGTAATTTGAGAGCCCAAAGATCGTAAGAAGTAATGTGTGAACAAATATTAATTTAATTGCATATTTTCTGAAGAAAAAAAATTAAAATTTGCTAGAGAAATTGAGAGCTTAAGAGCTGCTGCATTAAGTATGATCACTGAAACATAGCACAATAAAGACAAAAAGGATTAAAAGAAATGAGAGAAAATTGAAGAAAATTAATAACTGTTTTTTGCTTGATATGTTTTATTTCGTATATTTTTTATTTAATGTGCTCTTATTTCGTTTCAATTTTTTTTCAAGTGCTCCTCACACTATTGTATTCATATATTTTCCTTTGGCTATATTGATACAATATTAGTAAGCACTCCTTTTTGCGGATATAATCGTGTGAGCTGATGAAGAGATTATATTTTTTTTTTGTTTCCCAGCTTTTTTTTAAAAAAATATTTTATTTTAATGATATATCTTCTTCTCTTTTCATTAATCTTTATTATTTTCCTTGTTTTCTCTATATTTTTGACTATGTAAACAATCTTTTGTTAGCAGATAATGTTTTTGGAAGCTAACTCAAATGGCAAAACTGTTGGCCCAATTTGAAAGACCAGGTTTGAAACTTTTAGAAATTGAGTCCTTTTTGCCTATGCAAAATTTGCATCAACCAAAATGAGCGTAAGAAGTTATAAACTTTTATTCTTGTTCAATACCACTATAATTAAAAAAGGCATTCTTATATAAATATTGCAACTATATTGAATGATTATAGAATGGCTGGTATTAACACTGAAAAGAAATTAACCTTTTCTCCTCATTTTGGTGATGACTTTTGCATGAATGAAAATGACATTATTTCTAAAAGCTTCAAAAAATAAAATAAAGCATTCCCAGAACAGCCTATTGGAGGCCTGGGGGTCATGGAGGATGAAGCTCCTCAATTTCATGACCAAGGGCATGATTGTGGCAATGTGGTCAACACTGCACATTGGCCATATTTACTTCCCAGACAAGCTGATAACCATCAGTCTGAAAAGGGATTTAAACATGACCTTTTTGAACATGACCAGTTTTGCCGCATAAAATCTTCCAAAACATTGCCTTCTGAAAGGAAGATTTTTTTTCACAAATTTGTCCAACGTGAGTATGTATTGTGTGTGTGTATAAATATCTATACATATATATATATAAAGAGAGATCATTTGCACTTATTTTTCTTTTTAAGATTAAATGTTATCTTCTTAAACTAAAATTTTTTATTAATTTTCAGACTGATGATAAAGATTCGGACAGTATGAATGGTTTCACTGAAGATGATGAAGGGAATCATGAATGTCATGATCTGCGTCATAACACCCTTTCAGTATGTTCTAAAATAAAATTCATTTGGAAAATTTTAATTATTCATGTTTTTTTTTTAATTCATGGCAGTTTTGTCTTTTTCTCTGAACCCAATGATTTTATTAAAAAAATAAAGAACTCTTAACTAAAACTATTATATATAGGTTCCTAATCTTTTAGAATGTACTAAATTTATGTGTTCATATTGAGAGTAAATAATGATTTGCGGACAAAACACTTGAGTATCTTCTGTAATGAACATTAGTAAAAATAAATAAACTGTAAAATGTATAGTTATTTTAATCCTAACATCTTTCTTTTCATGTCATAGTTTTCTAGGTGATAGTAAATTGTGATTAATAATTAATTAATGTTAATAAATTATCTTTTATATTTCTCATAATATTGGCTATAAAAGTTATTTTATTGTCAAAGGCCACAATTAAAATTTTATTATAATTATTTCACTGAAAAAAAATCGATATAAATTTGAGCTTTAATCACAGTTGAAATTTCATTAATTGTATTATTTATACTTGGTTAAATATTTAAAAATTTATGTTCAAACAAAAAAGTTTGAATATATTTTACATATGTTACTTAGATATTTTATTTTCTAACTGTAAGCAATCTTTAAATATTAACAATTTTTAAAATGGATTATAATGCTTTTTATTCATTTGATTATGATTTACTTTAATTGATAATTATTTGATTTTAATCAAGTAATTAGAAATATTTTAAAACAGTTTCTTATGAATACATTTGAAAACAATTTATGAAATAATGATATTTTCTTTTACATTCTTTATCTTGAACTTCCACCCAAAGCAAACAAAAGAGTTATTTCTAAAATTATAAAAGTTTCTTTAATTTCTATTAAAAATTTTTTTCTCACATAATATTTAATAGCGATTGCTTGCATCCTAAAATGTGGAAATCTTGTTTAGATCATTTTGTATGATTAAGTTATTGATTTAAAATTTCAAGAGCAATTGTTTTGAACCTTATAACATTTTAGCTGAAGTCAAAACAAGTAAAATGTTATTTTATTTTAGGAGTGGCAATTTCTATGAAAATTATGCATTACAATAGTTACTTATATCTGAAAACAAATATTAAAATCTGTGGTTGTTGTGTAGGAGTATGTTGTATATCTTTTGTTTGTGGTTTTACTAGGAAAATGAGAGATTCCCAGAGTGTGGTTAAAAGTTTAATTTATCTTTTAAATATTACATTTAAGTTTTTATTTTTTACATTAAGATTAAAACTTTTCTGTGAAATTATTTGACATTGAATTTCTTAGCAATTTTTTAAAGTTAATATTACTTAGTCTTCCCTAATACCTAAGAAAGTTTATGAGAAGTTGTTGAAATCTTATGTTAATTAATTACATTTTAATATGTTACTCAGTTTAAAAAATTTTCTTCAGTTGAACAATTTCTGGAGTACTATTGTATTTTTTCAATCCTAAATTACAGTGAAAAGTAGGGAATCAATTTTTAAATTTGCACAATTGGTTATCTGCTGATTTTGCATCAAAAGTAATAAGATTAATCTCAATAATTCCATATCTATTTCCTTACTCTTTAATTATTTGCAATATGTTTTTGCAATCATTTTTGTTATTTTGTTTTTCACATTTTCTTTCATAAGACATTTTTCTTTGATTATACAAAAAATTATGTTCGACAAAAAAAAGAAATTGTGATATATGCAATTAATATCAATGCAAGAAAAGTCCAGACTAGATAATTCGAGGGTTTGTGATTGTGTATGCACAGCCATTATAGTGCTTGTGATAATGTTTCATCATCACGGTGATCTGTATTCCTCCAAAAATCAATTTTATATTTCAGTTTTTGTTCTTATAGCTTCACTTATATTCCTTTTTTTACCACACTTTATTTTTTGTAAAAACTACAAATCCTATGTACTGCAAGCATTAACCATACTCAGTATTATGCATTTTCTGATCACCCATATTCACATTTAATTTCACAATAGTGAGCTATTAGCTCTATTTACTTAATTGAATACTTTACTTACAGTATATTCACAGTTAATTTTAATAAATCATTATTTATTGTTACACCATGAATGTGTTGCAAACTGTAATGTTTGTTTAGATTTATGTTCAGAGTCACCAGAAACCATTCATTTTTATTTAGGAAAAAAAGAACAAAAGAACACACAAATATCCAAAAGCATTGTAAAATATATTTAATTTAAAAATTTGTACACAATTTTTTTTCTTTTTGTATTTTTGAATTTTTTTTTTCATTATTATTGAGTGTCAATTGAGACATCTGCCACTCTGAAATCTAAAATGTAGATTTTCTTGTGAATTTGATGATTTAAATTTGTGAATTTGATGTGTATATTGATTGATTTAAATCTAAATATTTAAATCAATCCATTTACACATCAAATTCACCATAAAATATAACAGAAATATTCTTTCAGTGAAAATTTTTATTTTTATTTTGAAAGCTCTAAATGAATTTGCCATTATCTTCAGGTATCTGATAATCCATCAGCTTCAGTTGGTGAGCTACATCATAATGGTACAATGCCTGTAGGAGGTATGCTAGATCCCAGCGGAATGCCTACTTTAGGGGCTATATATCAAGGAGAATGGCCTATGCATCGAGGTAAACTCCATGTATTTGTTTATAGTATACAGTGCAAACAAAATGGACCACCCTGGATAACTTATGATCCATAAGGTTCTAGGACTCAATCTTGATGGTTCAAGGGAGTTACCTCATATATGCTAATTAATTAATGGATATTTTAAGTTATGAAATTAGATATAATAATGTACTTTGAATAAATATACTTTTTTTTGACCGATTCTTATTTTTTGTCCCCATAAATGTAAGGGGTAGCTGCAATTTGAGAAATGTGGTCCCAAAAGTTTGGTCGAGAGAGGTTGAAATTTTGTTTCCCTTAATGTTCTTTTTACTTTTTGCGTGTTTTACCATATCTCAAGAATTTTTTAAGCGAATTGAAAACGTTTTGCACACAATTATAAAATTCATTTATGCAAAGATAATTTCATGCAAAAAAAATTAGTAAATATTTATTATGTTTTATTATTTTATTTAATAATAGTCGAAAAAATTAAGGGGTGTAAAGTATATAATTTTTTACATCATTTTAAAGAATATAATTTTGCATTGCAATATACATAACTTGAGCTGAGCAGAATCAGTCAAATATTTTCTTAGCAATCGAATTTTAAAAATAGCACTTTTTTAAAATCAGCTGAACTTTTTAAAGCTTTTATTTCCCAGATTGTCCAAAATATAGGCTATCCCGTATGTTTTGGGGTGTATATTATTCAGAAAAAAAAGTTTATTTATAAAAAGAACGTTTTTGTGGTCTTCCCTAATTAATTAGCATATTTGAGATCACTCCTTTCAACCATTAGATTGAGTACTAGATCCTGACTATCCAATTGTTAGATCAAAAGCTCTTCAGGGTTGTCCTAATTATTTTTTGTGTGCATTGTATATGATAATTATAATTTTCATTCACTTATTTCAACAATATAATTAAATTATTACTTATTTTTATTAGAATAGTAAAGAAAAGTGTATATCTGAAAATAATTCTGAATTTTAAAAGAGAAACTAGTTTATCATCCTCTACCCTTCCAATTCCAAGATAATAATATAATTATTTTTTTTACTTTCTAATATGTCCCCTAAGAATTTTCAAGATACATTCTTTCAAAATGTTATGTATTAACAAATTGACAATAAGAATTATGAACTGTGTCAAAGATTTAAATTTTTTTAGGACAGTATTAAAGATTAGACAGAGTATTTTCCTGAAAAATAGAGAAAAGAATGTGAAGGGTTAATTTGGAAAACTATTTTTTTTAAAAGTTTACTTAACAGTGTATTTGTATGTTTATGAGAAGTTAAACTTTTTTAAAATAAATCTTTTAAAAAGTTACTTCGTTTATTTCTTTTAGAAAACCTGTACAGTTCTGAATACTTACATTGATCTGCTTAAATTAATTTAAAAATTTAATCAACTTACGCTGCCCTTTTAAATTAAAAGAAATCATCCTACTCTGTAAGTTACTGTAAACACTATAAGTTATGGAGTTTTATCTTAAATTTTATTTGATTATTTAATTTTATTGCATGATAAATATAAGACTTTTGAAAATATCAAAATATGGTAAAAATTGTTGGTTGATTCTAGCAACTAAATCATCAACATTTATAAACCTTTTTGTGTATTTTTTGCATTCCATATTTTATTAATACAATATACACAGTAATAATGTTATGTAAATGTTGATTTTTTTTTTGATTTATAAGATTATTAGTGATATTCATATTTTTGTTTATTTTCTCATAAACAAAATGATTTTCTAGAAATCATTTAAAGTAAATCTTACTTCTCTATAAATTTAATAATAGTTATCAAGAATTTGTATATGCCTTATGCATTGCAATCATATTTCTGCAACTTTCAATAGCTTTGTGGATGAGTGGACCAAGTAGTATTGGGGAGAAAGACCCTTTAGATGGTTTTGGTGCTGATGATACTGAAAGTATAATGAGCTTCAGTTCCAGTACAGCAACAATGAGCTCTAGACGAACACATTCACATCAGCTCGGAACAAAGGTATTGTTGTATCACATGATGCAATTTGAAATCCTATTGTCTTAATACAATTTATTCTATCTAATGAAATTTACTTATATTTCTAAACCAAATGTAACTGTTTAAACCAAATAAAACTGACTTATAATATCACTAAACATAATTTAATTTGATATTGTATGAAAAGTTCGTTTTAGCATTTTTTTTTAGAAATTTGGTAGAGTTTCCTTTATTTTCTGTTGTTGAAATGCCAAAGTTTTGAGATTAAAGTTATTAAAATCAAGTAAATGTAATTATTTTAAACTAAATATTATATATTGTATATTTTTCTTATCGAAGGATGTGAATTTATTATATTTTTAAGTTAATTGGCATTTATTTTCATATTTAAGGCTACATTCAGATACTTCAACTGGTTTTAACATACAGTTTCATTTATTTCTTAATCTTCTAGAATTGTGATAAACTATTATTATGCATTAAAATGTTTTAATTTAACTGGAAAATAAAAAATAACAAACTTTAATATTAAAACAACTAAATATTACTTTCCATTTAGAATGTTTGAAAATTATGATTACTGTTAAGTTTTGGAGTGTTCATTTTAGAACATTTCATCTTGATACAATATGAAAAGACATTTGTATAGTATACTGTCTTTAACTTTTTATATCTTATAGAATTTCAAAAGCACTGGTGTATTAAAGTAAATTTAATACATAATTTAAAAATAATTGTTATAAACTTTAAATAGTTTCAATTAAAAAAAAATCATAAAAATTACATATTTAGCTCTAATATTCTAGTTCGTAAGTTCTAATGAAAAAACTTCTTTTTTATTTTTAAAATACTATTTTAGGTAGAAATGGTGTATTCATTATTATCTATGCTGGGCAGCTGTAATAAGGATGATATGAGTAGAACACTTCTTGAAATGTCCAGTAATCAGGATAGCTGCATTGCCATGAGGCAGTCTGGTAAGCATTATCAGGATAAGATTATCAGCATAATCAGGATACATTTTATTAGCTTTTTACTCTGGAAGTGTGTTTCTTAGCTCAATGTTGGCTTACATTATAAAGAAGAAAATATATTTCCTATTTATGCTTCTGTAACAGCAATTTTTTTAGCTAGACATTGAAAATCAGGCTTTAGAAGCTCTTGACATATGTTAAAATCTTACACGAATTCAAACTATTTTCCTGACCTATTTTCATAATTTAAAGAATTTCATTGTTTGCAATGCATTATTCATCAAATATAAATGAAACCTCATTATTTTGTTACTAAAATATTTTTTTGGATAATTTATTTATATTTGATTTATTTTGAAGAATATCAAATATAAGGCAGGTAAATGAGTTAAACTGTTATCATTTTCAGTAATGTTTGATGAATTACAAGCTATAGCACTACTCAAAATTTAAAATTATTACTTTATTAGAGTTATTAGTAGTAGAGTATCCGTGGAATTAATATGTATGCTGTAATTAATGGATATGATATTTTAAAATTAATAATTAGAATCCAGCCAAATCTTATTAAAATTTTTTTACATATACTTGTAAATGAATATAATCAGTGCATTTATATAAAGATTGTTAATTTGTTTTATGAGGTAAATGTAAAAAAGTATATAATTTAAAAAAAACATGCTGTCATTATTAAAATTTTAAAGCATGGTTTCAAAAATGTTTTTTTTAAATATTATATTTTTATGTCATTACTGTTTAGTTGAATACAATAAAAAGAGTATTTATATCATGATTATGAGTAGTTTCATGTCATATCATCTTTTTTTCCCAGACATTATTAATGTTTTAAATGTAACTTATTTCATCTAATTTATTATTATCTGTTTCTACAAATCTATATTTAAAAAAAATAATACTTGTAAATAGTTAAAGGTCCATACAGCATGTGTGTTGTATCTGATAAAAAGAAAAATTATACTCTTGAAATATTAGTCAAAATTTTGATTGTGCTTTTACAGTTTCAAATTTCAATTATTGCTCTTTTATAAATGAAGGGTCTGAGGCAATATAGTAATTTGATATTTTTTCTAACATAGCATTTTAACTTTAAAACTAATACTTAGTATTGTTTCCAGAGAGTTAATATGTTTCAGTGGAATTTCCTCTAGATAACAACCAATACACAAATACATCTTATACATATGGAAATCATGGTGTTTTAAACAAAAGAAATGCTATTCTGTGCAATTTGAGAAGGAGGCTCATACTGTTCTCATTATACTGTTTCCATTCCCCAAACTTTTTTTGAATTCCAATAGTTCTAAAAATGACAATTTCAGATGATTATGAAGTTATGTGATAAAAATGTAATTTAAGCTATAGTATGTGATTTTATATCAGCTGAATGTTAGTATCATCTGATGCACATTTGTTAGTTTTTTTCCCTTCATATTTAACAGGCTTATAAGTATTTTAAATTTTCATTTCAGTTACTAAATGACTTACTGTAGATTTTATTTTGTATTAGCTTGCATTTTTTAAAGTCATTTAATGTAGGTATCAATTTAAAAAAATGTGTTAAATTATGTTTATTAAAAAAAATGGATAGGAGAGAATTATTGAATGAACAATTTAAATTTTGTTCTGTAAAGTTATTTTCAAAATATTAATGTTCTGATATTATAATTCTCTTCTTTCATAAAAAGAAAATTCTTAACGATCTTGTGATATGATATTTCACTTGATTTTATTCAAGAATTGATAGCCTTTCAGTAAATTTCTGTTATATGTATAGTAAAACATTTTGTGAGGTGATCCATATTTTTCATGTCTTAAAAGTAAAAGCCTCTGAATTCTCTTTGTGACTTGTTTTAATGATTGAAATATTGTTCTGTGAAATGAGTTCCTGATTGATGTCTATAACCAATTAATTATTTACTGATTATTTTTTATTTGTTGGCACAATAATAATTTTGTACCTTGTTGAAGACTTTTAGTGTTGCCACTAGTAGGAAATTACAATGCTTTAAATTAAATTTGAATTAAGTAGTATATTTAGTTAGTTTCCAAAATTAGATGCTGTCAAAATTGCCACAATCAAACCATTAGTGTAACAGTGCTATTAAAATTATCTGTTGCAATGAAATTTTCTTAAATTTTTTTATATCATTTCACATTATTTATTTCTCTTTTTAACACATTAAAATTTATTTATTTTTATAGCATGCTGTGTAGCATTTTTAAAGATGCTTGTTTTTGATTTGCGTTTTTTAAAAGTGCTTAATTTTCCCTTTTTCAAAATGAGGTTTTTCCTTTACCATGTTGATTTTCGCTACGATTTATGCAAAAAAAAAACACAGTTCACATTGTTCTATTCAACGTTTTCACAATTCATTCAACCCCAATCTATTTCGGCATATTGTCAGTCCGTAGCGTAGGAAAACAATTCAAACTTCATGATTTTTGACAATTGTCAAAAACATAGCCAATTTTTTTTTTTTTTTGACATGACGGTTAAAACAAGATAAAACCATCAACTTCCAACCCTGCCTAATTATGATATTTTTTAAAGTGCTTAAAAATATTTTTTGAGTGCTTATTTTTTGTTGAATAATTTGGTTATGCACCCTGTTTAATGATTAGTTTAATTTTCTTCGTAATGATGCTATTTATAATAATAAATTATTCAATTGCATTTATATTGTACTTAACCTACATTTATAGATACTATATTGTTTACTTATATTTTAGGCTGCTTACCCCTTTTGATACAATTATTACATGGAAGTGAACGGGACCAAGTGAGTGTAGCTGAACAAAGAAGTTCTGAAAATGTCAAATGGGCTGTGAGAGAGGCCCGAAGAAGGGCCAGCCAAGCATTACACAACATAGTGCATGCACACCCTGATGACAGAAGAGGACGACGTGAAGCTAGAGTTCTAAGACTTTTAGAACAAATTAGAGATTACTCAGATTTTCTAAGAGATTTAGGTTCTAGCAACGTGGATTTCTCTCATAATGGTAAAAATGTATTATATAGCTTACCTAGTTCAAAATTATTATTCGAATGACAGTTGTTTTAATTTAATTGACATCTGTACAACTTCAACAAGAAGAAAGTCACCCTGAATTTTATTGGTTTTAAATTTTAAGGAGTATGATTTTCACAATAAGAAATGAAGTTCAATATGTGTTTATTTTAAAAATATTATAAATATATGGTGGAAATTAATGATTCTATTTTTTTAGAAATATATTTTAAAATTTAATTTCATATGCTGCACCAATATCTTATTTTAAGCTATCATATGTTAGGTGTATTTTACAAATTAAATATAAAGCCAATAGATGCTCATTTTGAATGAAATTATGATAAATCAATAGTGCCGGGAAATTTAAGAGCCTGTAGGTAGTACTTAAGAAACTGCACACAGTACTTTAGATATTTTAAGAACTGCTACATGTATAACAGCTAAATCCCATCACTAACAAAATATATCTTATTAAATTTTTCTATCATCACAGAAAGACAAATTCTAACTTGAACTTTGAATGGTATATTTATGAATTATATTTAGTCTTTTTTTATTTACCAAAACATGTTTTATTTAGAAAACTTGGACTTACATCCCGGTCCTGCTATAGCTGCTCTCATGAAACTATCTTTTGATGAAGAGCATAGGCATGCCATGTGTCAGCTAGGTATTTAATTATATTTCTTAATTGTTTACTGTTTTTAAATTGTATATTTAGTATTCTTAATTTTTGTCTTTCAGTTATCACACGTTTTTATTAAAAAATTGGTTTAACCCTTTTGCGCCTAACGGGACACATACGTCTCAAGCAAATTTCAAAAAAATCTATTGCTTCTCTGTCTAAGGATAGACTTTCCCACCACTCCTTCCATTATTTTTGAAGGTATTTTCATTCACAGAACATAGATGGCACTACCGTACATAATGCAATTCTTGCATTTTCGAAGTGTTATAGCAGCTCATTCCATACTGTGTGAACGTAAATAGTTTAGTTTTGGAAAATACAGCCTATTTTTGATAAAATTTTGATTGATCTATAAATCTAAGGTCCGAGAAGTTACTCACGGAGCGGATTACCTCTAATAAGTGGCAAAGTTTTACTAACACAGTATCCCAACAGTCCTATGTGATCATTGGTTTTCTTTACAAAATTATTCATTGATGACTTCTGGGACACATATGTCCCAGTTGTCAGGACTGATAGGACATAAATGTCCCAGTCCTAAATCAGTGTTTAAAATCTTCCTAAAAATATAACATCTTAGTTTTAGAAAAAAATAATAATAATAACCTCGTCGCAAAAGAGTTAAAGAAATGAATCATTTATAATAAAATTTGATTTTAAAAAAAATCATAATTTGTATCAAAGTAAATAGTTCATTAAAACAAAGTTTTATAGGATATTGATTGACCACTATAATATAATAGTTATTTATATCATTGTAAATTTCTATGTGAAAATAACTTTATTTTTGAGGTTATTTTTAGTAATTTTTCACTTCATTTTACTTTTATATTATTAAGAAATATATAAATTGATTTTTTTGGAATGCATTTGTATCTCATAGGTGGTTTGCAAGCCATTGCTGAGCTTATTCAAGCTGACCATGAAGTTCATGGGAATACAAGTGACCAGTTCTGTGTTACTGTGAGACGCTATGCAGGAATGGCTCTCACAAATTTAACATTTGGAGACGGAACGAACAAAGCTTTACTATGCTCCATGAAACCTTTCATGCAAGCTTTAGTAGCACAATTACATTCACCCAACGAGGACCTCCGACAGGTGAGCTTTTTCTTCAGTCACATCACCATAACTGTAAATAAGTTTGAAATAAATTAACTTTTAACATGTTAAGTGAGGATCATTAGTCAGTATCAAGCATATCATTTATTCATGACAATTTTCTGTATTAATTACTTAAAACTAAAATTTATAAAATCAAATTTTTTTGGGGTAGATCATGCCTTACCTAGTTATATCAATTGTTGATGGGGACGCTTGTTTATAACATCGAACTGCCTAATATTATTAAATTAAACATATTTTTTAGCTTTAGGACCTAGTTGTGCCACTTATTTAAGCTTTGTGTGAAATACTATTCTTTAATTTTATGATTGCTAAAAATCAATGTTTCTCTTGTCAGCTCTGATTGGAGAGATCAGAAATTATTTGTTGGTTTGTTGGAACTAACAAATAAGAACATTTATCATGGAAATATTAAATTTTATTTATAAATATTATATTTTTTGTTTTACTAATTAACATCTATTGTCCATATTTTAGGTTACTGCAAGTGTTTTACGTAATCTGTCCTGGAGAGCTGACACTTCAAGCAAAGAAATTCTGCGAGAAGTGGGAGTTGTCACTACCCTCATGAAAGCAGCTATGGAAGCCCAGAAAGAGTCTACATTGAAAAGCATTCTGTCAGCGCTGTGGAATCTCTCTGCTCACTGTAGCATGAACAAAGCAGATATCTGTGAAGTAGAGGGGGCCTTAGAATTCTTAGTCTCCACTCTTACCTATAAAAGTTCCTCAAATACTCTTTCTATAGTTGAAAATGGTGGTGGAATACTTCGAAATGTGTCCAGCCATATTGCTGTTCGTGAAGACTACAGAGCTACTCTAAGGCAGCATAAATGCCTTCAAACTTTACTGTCTCACTTAAAATCACCTAGTTTGACAATAGTTAGCAATGCGTGTGGTACTTTGTGGAATCTTTCTGCAAGGTGTGCTGAAGACCAACAAGCCTTATGGGAAATGGGAGCTGTTGGCATGCTCAGGAATCTAATTCATTCAAAGCATAAAATGATATCCATGGGAAGTTCAGCTGCTCTAAAAAACCTTCTTGCAGCTAAGCCAGATGGTATGGGTATTAGCTTAGGATCTCATTCTGAAAATGGACACCATGTAAATGGTGGATCACCCAACATGCCTTCTCTTCTAGTCAGAAAACAACGAGCTCTTGCTGCTGATCTTGATGAAGATCTCGCTGAAACCTGTGATAACATTGATAGTCCTAAAACCAGTCCCACCCCTAATGGCGATATCAGCAAGAAGCTTGCATATGAAACAAATGGATTTAGTTGCCTTGATCGTAAGCCTCAGTTTCTTTCTTATCTCCCAGGTAGAATGTACCACAGTATAAATGGACATGTAGGTTCTCCTGTCCGTGTTCCTCGATCAGAAAGCAAAGATAGCCTCGGAAGCACTCGTTCTGAACCTCCCCATTATAAAGCACAGCGAGAGAGGTTTAAAATATTTGTTAACAACAATCGATCGATGCCGTTCGATGGTAGAACTGTTCATGAGAGACCAACTGAATGGAAGGAAAAAACTAATCTTCCCTTTGAAAATAACAGCAACGTTGTCTTACAAATGTTTAGGCATTTGCAATCTGGAACAAATAGCTATGAATCGCCTGAGGTCAAGACAAATGGACATGCAGAGTTATCCGATGGGGAAGACAAACCAGCTGTCAGGCCAAATACTTTGTTGTCTCCTAAAAAGAATGCTTGGGGATTAAGGAACAACAGGATTGCGCAGAAAAGAAGCATGCATAATAATTTGTCACAACATTTAATACATAATGGCTTTAATCATTTAGACACAAATGGATTTGCTTCTGATTCTTCAAATGTAAGTGATAAAAATGTGCTGAGTAGTATAATAGAATTCCCAGGAAATAAACGAGTTAACTCTACTGAAAAATTCGAAAGAAGTTATACTCATTCAAACAGTTCATTTATTCAGGAAAATGGAATTCATGAAAATGAAGTAAAAGAAAAACCTAGAGGTGTAGTTTTGAGACACAAGAAACCTAGTGACTGTATGTCAACCTCTGCAGTCACTGTGAGTAAAGGTAAGATTTTTTTTAAAACGTAAAAATTTTTGTTATTTGATAATTTATTGTTTTTCTTTCAAAAGTATTACCAGCTGACATCATATTCGCTCAAGGGTCACTTTTAAATTAGTTACTGAAATTCTTAATTTAGATCCCTACACAAATATACATTCAGTTTAAAAAAACTTTTAAAATACTGATTGTATATTTTAAGATCATACTAAGAAATTTATTAAAAAATGATTAATAAGGCACTCAGATTTATTAACCTATTGAGTGTGGAATGGGTATTTGTATAAACTGTTATGAACTACCCAAAAATAAATAAGTAAAAATAAATGATGAAAAAATAAATAAGCGGTGTTGTTGATAACCTATAAATTTTTTGTTATTATTCTGTTTCGAATGAGGAGGTGTAAGAAATCTGTAATGCGGAACTTTATTAGAAATTTGTTGATGAGACATAAATTTTTTTTATAGTTTCGAACAGTGAAGAAAATATGTTTTCAACAGCTACCTTTCTAGCCACATTAACTGACATAAGTACAATTAAAAACTTTCTTTATTTCCAAATTTGACTTAGGTAATGGATTTCTTTATTTTTTATTTATCTTAAGAGAATGAGCAAAAATTTTATAGATATTTTAATTTTGCATTTTTTCTTTATCACATACATTAAATAGAAATTTATTTATGCAGTAGGTAAAAAATATAGATTCAGTTTCTATTTGGAATTGATTGTTCAAAATTTTTGTTATACAATGTATTGTGTGCGAAATAAAACTTATTAACTTTTTGATCTAACTATTAGATTGTCATGTAATAACATATAATCTTAATGGTCAAAGGCATAACCTTAAATACAATATGTTAATTATTTAGTGTAGACAACTTAGAAAAAAAAGTCTTCATTTTTAATAAGCAATTGTCTTTTTTTTTCCCTACTGATAGGGATTATGGACAATGAAAACATAAGAACAGCCACAATTTGAAAAATACGGTTCCAATAGTTTAGTCAAGAATACATTTGGAAGTTTTGTCTTCTTAAAATTAATTTTATTTTTTCAGTATTTCAAGTTTCAACATACTCTTGGTACAATTTGAGCATTTCAAAATAAAAATTTGCACACAATTACACAGCTGCCAACTGTTTTGGGCCAATTTTTCGGATTTGTTCCTAATTTTTAAATCTAATCTGATATTTTTATAAAAAATCCGAATTTTCATAAAATTGCAATATTGTTGCTTTTGAACCAATCCCTTGGTCTGATCGTTGCAAGCACGCTTCCTGTGATTATTCTGCTGAAGTAATTTTTAATCGCTTTTTATTGGAAAATACCATTCCTATAGTTATTGTTGATCATTTCACTAAATTGAATCTTAAACAACTATTATTATTTTTTAAACAATGTATAGTAGTATTTAAACACTTGCATCAGAAATATTTATGATGTAAATTATTATTTACCTGTGTTTTATAATTTGGAGAATAATAATTATATATTTATAGGGAATAGTTGTTTTTATCTATTATACCGGTATTCCTAATTATTAAATATTAATATTATAAATTTCTCACAAAAGATAGTGTTTATAGTTTTGTTTTACTAATTTACGATGTAAAGTATTTAAATATGTGTCTATTAATGTTATTATTTAGTAGTTAAATTTTTGTCTTATTCTCGTAATTGGCGCGTATAATTTTGTCTCATATGTTCCTAATTTTTGAATCCTAAGGTTGGCAGCTATGCAATTACAAAACTCATTTATTTATTTTAGTTATGAACAAAACAAATTTTGTGTAAGTTACACAAATTTTTACATTAATTTAAACCATGTTATTTTAAATGACAAAATCCAACATTTGAGCAGAATCGATCAATTAATTTCTGAGTTAACAAATTTCAAAAAGTTTTGTCTTAAAATTTTTATTTCTCAGGGAGTATTTGACTTATTTTTCTATCTCTTAAATTTATCCTATTTATTTTTTAAAAAAAGTGCTTTACATTTCTTTAGAAGAAATGAGTGATGCAGCAAGTGGTGATCCAACATCCTTAGTGGTGTCTAGATGTAGCTCCTTAAGCTCACTTACAAGTTGTTTTCAACATTCTGCTCGAAGTTCCTGGGTCAGTGATGTCAGGTAAATGAGATCTTAATGTCTTAGCAATAAGTAACAATATTTTTTAAAAACATTTTTTAAAACTCTACGCATTTATGTTTATCGCAGATATAAGCAATCTTCTATTCATTATAAAATTAATTTGATTATGTAACTATAATTTGATTTCAATAGTTCTTAAATTTAAATATTATTTTGTAATACTTAATTTCTTGTTATAAAGATAAACTAGGTATGAAATTTAAACAAAATTCTGTTTTTTTTTCTTCTTCTCAAGACAGATTAATTAGGATCTAACAATAAAATTGTGACTAAATTTAGGTAATAGTTAGTTAGCATTTGAAAATTCAGAAAAAATTAAATTGATACCGTCTTTTTACTTCCTTTTACTGTGCATTAAAGCTTTTGAATGTTATGTACTTAATGTTTAGTATGTTTCTTGTATATTATTAAAAATAATTAAATGAACACTATTTCCATCCTAAAAAATAACAATAGATCCTCAATTATCTTGAAAGGAACCAAAGTTTTGACCAGCTAGGTCACTTTAGGAATTGAAGAAATTTTTGAAATGATTTGGCCTAAATTATTTAAAGCAAAACAATTATTTGTCCTAAAAAGTTAGTGAAGAAATGTAATTGTTAGATATTACTTTATTAAATTCAAATAAGCATATTATTTAAATTTTGAAATTTTCGTTCGTTCGTTTCTAATCCCCAAGAGGTCCATCCCAATTAGATCAAATCCATGAGTCCAAAAATGTCCAGAAAGTCTAAAAACAGATGAGGCCTTGAAAAAACCTTCTCTATCTTAAAATCGATACAGTTTAGAATATGCTCGGGCGAAGCCTGAGCAGTCCTACATTTAGTGCAAAGTCCAAAAGTCTTTTCGCCCCTGGACATACAAGAGACACCTCAAGTGACCACTTGCAAAGCGAGAGAAACAAGTATGCTGGCTTCTAGGTCCCTCAAAAAGCAAGGCACCTCCAGGACATTTTCTGAAATACCAACTATGCGGAGGAGGAAGCCTCCAGAGGTCCATAAACATTTTTTTGCACTCTGCAAAGACCTCATTGAAAGTGGAAGGTATATCTGGCTGTAAATGTTCCAAAGAAGCATCTTTAGCCAGTGAGTCCGCCATCTCGTTACCTTTGATTTAAGAGATTTTCCCTTAGAAGATAGAGACTGTGGTATACTTGTCGAACTTGGCCCTCTGCTCAGACTCATGGTACGGGGGGAAGTGCTACAGATTCTGTTGGCGGAAAGTGACCTGGAGCAACTAAGGTTAAAGACTGATTTAGCTCCATAGTTTCACCTGCTGGCATTAGCTTGGTATAATGGAATGGCCTTCACGTCTAGGGTGGCCCTACCAGGAGCTAAGCTCCATACTTCGCCCTAGATTTGAAATGCTACATTTTGAAATTAAAATACCAGTGTCTTTAAATTTATAAATCATATGGAGGTTGTTAAAATAATTTTATATTTTTGAAATTTAAAATTTTCATAAATTTCAGTTATTCATTTTTATTTATTATGTATTGTAAAATTATATCGATATTTTGTAAGTTGTTAGGATTAAGATAAATAATAAATACCTTTAAATGATTAAGTGTTTAAAAGTAATTTTACATCTTAGTTTGAACACTTAAGTATTATTTGTTGTAATCAAATATTTTTAAAACATGATTTAGATGTAAGGATGCTAATAGTTATGTTGAATATATTTTCATTTGTGTAAATTCTCGTTATTATTTTTGGTTTAAAAAAATCAATTCTATTTGTAGATTTCAGAATTTTTTTAATATATATATTTTTTTTAACTTCTCTCTAATATATACTCTACTCTCTAATGTTCACAAAAATATACTCTTCACAAAATTCTGATGTTAAAAAAACCAACCATTTACAGCCACATTAATTCAACCTAAATTTATGAAAACTTGTAACAAATAGCTAATGGCAAAAATCAAGCTGGTCTTTGTTTCTCTCTTTTTTTTTTNTTTTTTTTTTTTTTTTTTTTTTTTTTTTTTTTTTTTTTTTGCGTTTAACTAATTCTAACAAATTAGACTTGTCAAATTCCAAATTCTGCAAATATCTATAAATATACAAATTTTTTTAGTGCTTCATTCTTTAAAAACAACAAGATGTATAAATATGTTAAAACATATGAAACTAAATGTATTCAAAATAGTAATACATTGAGTTTTAAATGCAAAAAATAATTCAGAAAAAAAAAGAGATTTTTTAAGGATTCCAATTTCCAATATTATTGAATTCCTGCACACAATTCTGTATTTGATTTTATTTAAGTAATTTTGTAAGGAAAAAAGGAGCTATAAGTTAAACAACTTTAAATATATATGAAATAGTATTTGAAGATTAGATTAGGTGTGGTCTCTGACTTATTGGCACATAGCCATTGTGATAATCTATTATTCACTATAATGAAATCGATTGCTGAATTGCTTTTCTTTTTTAAGTAAGCCTGGTTAACATGACATTTCTGCTATTACTTTATGAAAAGTTTCTTTTTGGAGAACTTGTACTGATATTTTGGCTTCTGCATGGGTCTAACTTAGCATTTTATTGTTCATGCAAAATAATTTTCATTAATTGAATATGACATTTAGTGAAAAATATTTAGTCTGTTCTATAAAATATATAACCATTTTACTTATTTTGTTATGTAATCCTTACCTAGTAAAAAAGAAACACTTCATTCAATTTTGGCATTTGAAACTATGTGGTGATTGATATTTATTGGGTGATTATGGAGATTCTTCAAATTATGGAAGAAATGTCTGATATTTGTATAATGACTGAAATTTCATAGTACAGTAGTTTATACTTAATATTTGCTGATAAATTTTGTATTGAAATATTAAAAAAATTATGAACATTATTTATAAATAGCTTATTTATGAAATTTTAAAATTTTTGTGTGTTATTTTTTATTTAAATCTCATATTACAGATGAAGATTAAAATTTAAAAAGAATATATTTTATGTTATTTTAATGCAGTATTGTTTTAAAACCATAAATGTTTATAAGTCTACTATCCATTGTTCTAAATGAATTTCTTTTATTTATATCTTTTTAATTTTTGTAAAATTTGCATAATTAGCATGATTGATATATTTAAGTATGATTGCTATATATAAAGATTTGCAGTTTGTCGGACTTCTATTGTACACATACATAAGAAATTGTAAACAAGTATCGATTTAATTTGTTAATTTTTTAATGTTCTTTTTTGTACAAAATACATTTTCATACAGCTTTTTTTTCATGACTTTAGTAGTAGCATATTTACTGAGATTTTGTTCTTTTTCCACTACATACCTGCATCATTTCTAATTTTTAATTTTACATTGTGCAAAATAATTTCACACTATTATTCTATTTTAATTTTAAAATTTATGTTCTTTCATCAAAAATATATAAAATTTTATTTCTTAATTAAATTTTCTTATTGTCAATTCATTTCAGCCAAAGAACAAGTGCTGTAATATCTCCGACAGATCTTCCGGATTCCCCTGGATATTGCACAACAGAAGAAAGGCCCCGAATTTCCGAATTTACAGATAAAGTATCAGATGCAGACGCCAGAGGACTTATTCGACCCAGGCCTGCCTGGCCTTCTGGTTCTACTCAACCTTCCACCGATTCTCTGCCTAGTTCTGTGAAAAGAATGTCTCTGGACAGTGATGTGTTTGTTCAAAGTAATGAAGCCATGCAACCCGAACTCTCTACTGATCAGTCGGAAAACTGTGATATTTTAGACTCACCTTCTTCAATGAAAACCATACCATCTAGACCTCAAAATAGCCCTATTTCTCCTGAAAAAGATCAATCTTCCAGTCAAGAAGTAAGATTTGATTTGTGCATTTTCTTTTAGGTTTTTGTTTTATTATTATGTACATTTACTTTTTGTATTATCTTATTAAATAGATGCTATATATCTACATTTTAGACTTATACTTAAAAAAGGGATTGTAATTCTGCTATATTTTTTAAAAAAATGATTTGAAACTTTACATTTTAAATCTGGTTCGGAATAAATTTGAAAGAACAAAAAAACTGAAGTACTATTTTTATTTAAACACATTAACCGAGTAAAATGCATATGTAGAATTTAATTTAGCTTCTCAAATAAAAGTAAATATTTTTAATAAATATTGTTCAAAGCGCAGAGAAAACATGGAAAAAATTATAGAAAGATGAAAAAAGAAGAAGAAAATTATTAAAATAAAATATCCATATTTTCTTTTAATAATTTTCTTCTTCTCTTCTTCTTTTTATCCTTTTTGTATTTATTGTGCTATATATGCATACATGAGTGAGTGAGATAGATAAAATAGATAGATAAAATAAATAAGATAGATAAGATAAATAAGATAGATAAGATAAATAAGATCGAAAAATAAGATATATGATAGATAAGATAGATAGATTTAATGATTAAGTTTTTNTATATATATATATATATATATATATTTATATATATATATATATATATTTATAAAAATTCTAACTTACTAATATTTCTACCAACTGGGTAAATGTGTTATAATGCAATGTGTAAATATGTAAATTTAACTAATCATTGAAATGAAAAATTTGTTTTATTTGATCTTCACTTTGCATTTTAAAAAAAATATAAAAACTTTTTTTGTCCGAGGCGTATCTCTTCTGCAGAATTTCTTGTGCAGTAAAATGAAATTAACGATCATTATGAAAATAATCTTATTCTAAATGTAAACAGATTTTTCATAAAAGATTCTGTATCTTTTTACCTATTTTTTTTAAATTTAAAAAAAAAAATGAAACTAACCACTTTTTCAGTTCATTTCAGTTGCTACAAATTTTGCTAGAGAAAAGGGATAATAAAATTGTTTTACTTTTAACTTATTTTACAAAACTTGGTTATAGAAAAAAATGCCTTTTCAAGAAAGTTGAAAAAAAGAAGTATATTATTATTCACATATTTAATATATATATATATATTGTAAACTTTTAAGAAAATTAAATGTATCTGAAATAATATTATATATTTTGAAATATTTTTCTGGCCTATACAATTTTTTAATGTTCCCAGATACTGACTTTATCCCATATAGATTTATTAGCATAATTATTTGATATATTTTTGCCTCAAAAGTAATAAGCATTTTATTCTAAATATCTTAAATCTGATTTTTTTACATGCCAGTCACCAGTTTTTCATGAATATTAAGATTGTGCAGTGATGTTGATAATTTATTTGAAAAACTGAATATGTCCGTGTACAAATAAAAGAAAAATTAATTGTAAAATGTCTGCAAATAATAAATTAAATGCCAATTTGTGTAATGCTTGCAAGTATGGATGAAAATTAGGCTTATTACAAAAAATTCTAAAAATTTTCTGGGCCTTGAAATGGCCATAAAATGTAGCAATTTTAAGGTTGTAAAAAGAAAAAATTTCTGATAATACTTGCTATTTCAACTTTTATGCCGCAAGAGCTTTAAGAAAATTTTTTCTTAGAAACTTAAGTTTGATGTGTAGTTAATGATTACAATGTTTATCTAAAGATTCTGCATTTTTTAAATTTTGTATTTTAAATTTTTTGATACATTTGTTTAACCCCTTAACGATCGGTTAATTTTCAAGAAAACGGTCATAAAAGTGTCTATTTTGCCAAATACACGTATTTGATTGGTGCTGACATCTAGTTTAAAATAAACTAACTATCTACAATTGCCTTAAAAATATCCTGGTACTGCCATCTGTTGTGTAAAATGTGAAATAAAATGTTTTCCGGGGAATAGAAATGAATTAGATTTATTCTTATTGAGACTGAACACTCCAGCCCGGAAATTTCACAGGAGCAAGAAATAGAGGGCGAAACCTCACCCATCATTTCCACGGGAGCAAGAAGGAAAGCCCCCATAAAACCTAAATTTTTCTTTGGAGATTCGATTTTTTTTTTCTTTTTGTAATATTATGCTATGATAGAATGCATTGCTTTTTTTCCATTAAATGTGACTTTCAATGGACTAATTAAACTAAATAATTAATTTTGGTTATTAATTATTATATATACTTTCAGAGCTCAACCTCCTTAGAAAATGATGATCAACAAGAAAAAGCTGGGGACAATGATTTAGTCGCAGCTTGCATCAGCTTAGGAAAGCCTTCTGCTGTAGAAAGCCCGCAACAGACAAGCAGGACTCATTCTAAAGGAAATAACCTCTGTTCTTCTCTCTCTCAAATCCGCAGTGGAATTCCCATAAAATCAAGACTGACTCAATCACTTCCTTCTCCTAATAATCCTGATGCAACTTCAACAAATGCTGAATCCCATAATTTTAATATTCAAAATGAAGATCAATCTCTGTGTGATGACAATGATAATTTGGTTTTGGAATCAGAAAATGTCAACTCTAGTCCCAAAAAAGAAGTTCAGCGTATCTCAGATTTTGAACAAAACTTGAAGAAAGCATTTGAATCAAAATTTTTGAATGTATGCAAGAAATTTCCTGCTTTAAGTCATAAAAGCAGTTTTGAGCAGTCAGATGAAAAGCCTTCTTGTTCTTCATTTAGCACACCCTCTTATTCTAAATTTGCAGGTCAGAAATTTTATTTAGTTTTCTGAATTCTGTAAAAATTAAATAAAATAAATTTAACTAATTTTTTTATTTATTTATTTATCTCAAATTGATTTAACATGTCTCGCCATATGGGCTACATTATGATTAAAATTGAAATATGTATTAATATTAAGAAGTGTTAGTTATTCCAATCTTTGGTAATTAACTCTCATTAAATTCTGTTAAAGTTATAAAAAACATTGGTAGTGATGTTAATTTTTTAAACTTTGCACAAAAAATTGATGAATGCTTGTTTTGATATATGCAGAACTCAGACAACCTAGGAACAAAATTTTAATTTTTTACCAATCATGACTAATATTTCAAAAAATTTTAGATTTGTTTTGTATGTAGTTAGTCAACAACTGAATTTTCTTCATTAAAAATATATCATGAATTTGTTGCTTTATCATAAGAGTATCTAAAACATTAGTTTTTGTTAGTTATTTTAATTTAAAATTTTGCCTTTTTGCCGTGTGAGTTAGTTATCTATGAAATATCCAGGTGTCATATATTAAAAATAAGTTCATGAGAATATTTGGTTATTTTTTATTTATTGCTCTGTTTTAAATAAAAATGTCTAATCGGCAATAATTTAATTTTAGGAAGAGGAAAGACATCAATACCACAAATAATTAGAAATGAAAATACAAGTGTAGATGAATTACAAACTCCGAAGCAAAGTCACTTTAAATCGGAAAGTTCACCTGTGTGCAGAGGGCTTCCTACCACAAGTTGCGAACAAAGCCTCAGTCCAAGTACAAAATTCCTTGGACATTCTAGTTCAACAGAAGAAAATGTATCGGAAGATAATATTCTAAGCAGCAGTCCATCTGCTTGTGATGAATCAGAAGGTATTGATTCAGATGACAGGCTAATTGCTGCCAATGCAAAAGCATCTGAAGTAGTTCTCAGAAATAACAGAGTTCGATCTAGGAAAACGAAGGCTAACAGGCGTTCAATGGAAATAAGGCAATCTTCAGAACATTCCAGTGAAGACGATAATAGAAATCCTTTTAATAGAAGTTCGGTAATAATTGCAGATCCTTCAGCTCTTCATATACTATCAGTGCCATCTAGTGAGAATGAAGAGAAAGCAATTGAAGATGAGCGTATGAAAGAAAAGGTATCAATGGGAGTCATACCCGACCTCTTGGAAGGTGCTGCTTACTATGATGGTTTAAGTAGTGAAAGTCATCAACAATCTGAAACTGGTTATGTTGGAAAAGTTGTATTACCGAGGAACATGACTGATTCAATGGAATTGAGAAGAGGAGCATTATTAGTTGCAGCAGAACTGGAAGATGGCATTGAAGACTGCACTCATAGTAGTACCAGCTTTGACTTAGAAAATATGAAACCTCCTTCTTGTATGGCAGAAATGAGTATGACTAGTAGTGGTCTTTCAGATTTGTTGTCAAATGGAAATGGCTGTTATATAAATGGAAAACGAGCTGTAGATCGCAGAAGAAGTATCAAGAGATCTAAAAAAATTAGTAGCAGTCATAGGTTTGTTTTAAAATCTGTAAGGCAAACAATTGCAAATAGTTTAGAATCATCAAAACATAAGGAGAGGTATGAGAAACCTGTTTCTTCATCTACTTCTTTGGAAAATATTAGTATGAAGAGCAGTGGTACATCCGACTTAATTGATAATGTTAACCCTCCTTCAATATTTGAAGATATATCCATGACTAATAGTTGTGCAAGTTTAAATAGCATTAGTTCAGATATATTGGAAAGTAGATCCCAATCATTGGCTGATGCTCGGAGTAGTTCTGAAATGTTTCAAAGATTTAATGCTGCCGCTGCAATGGTGCAAGTTTACTCCCGGGAATTATCCAATATTATGACTAGTAGCATGAAAAGCAGCTGTAATTCTGATTGTTTAGATCTTGTAAAACCACCCTCTATTTTCCAAGATATTGCTGAAGTTACAATTGAAGATGGAACAGATGCTGTGACAGATCCGTTAGTGTCTGACTTTGAACTTGAAGAAGAGCTACCCCATGATGATGAACCATCAATACCTTCAACTAACACTATACATTCCCCATTTTTACATTCTACTCAACGAATTGATGATAGTGCTGAAAACTTAAACAGCTCATTTGATGGTGATAGTTATGTTGATAAGTCACGAATTTCAAGCAAAGGAATTAGTAACTTTAGGCTTGAACCACAAAATGCAACGAAAGCACTTAGTGGTATTCCTACACTTTTGACTGATGATGAATATTCTTCTGGATTTTTCAGCAATATAACAACTGATGAGCACTGCAGTATGGAAAAAGATGAAAATGACTCTTCACCACCTCCTGCTATTCGCAAAGGTCCTCGCATTGTAAAACCAATAAATCGTGAAACTGTGCGCCAAATGCAAGAAAAGAAAAGTGCAGAAAAAGCAGCTAAATCTGTAAGAGGTAGGGCTTCCGGCTCTAGAAACCTTCTTCAACAAGTAACTAGTTCTCGAATTGTTAATGCAAATAAAACTAGTGTGAACAAAGGTGCTCCAACAGTGAGTGGTGTTAGAATGACAAGAACTCAAGCTTTAAGAGCATCCCAGAATAAACAGTCAAGTACTGGACGAGCATCACCTCGTTCCTTTCTAAGCAAACCTCCATCAGCGACATCTAGATCAGCAAATAGAACTGTCAGACAACCAACTGCTAAAGCAAACGTTTCTAGTTCAAAAACTGATGATGAGAAAATGGAAATCAGCAGACCGCAACCTCCTGTTAAGCAAAATACTTTCATCAAAGACGAAGTAACTTCAAAAGTGCCTGCGAGTGCTGCATCGGGTGTGTCTTCCAATCAACCAGTGTTATGTGATGAACGAAATAACAATGAACAGAGTAGCTGTGAAAAAATTTTATCCTCTGGATCAGGTTTCAACGATAAGAGACTTCCTCCTACTTCCCTTGACTCAGCATCAACAAGTACGGGTCTGCAACGAAAACTTAGTGTTCCTATTCAACGAAGGAGTAATGAAAAAGGAAGAATACCAACATCACCGAGTTACCAGGGTATATCATTTCTTGAAAAAGGATCTAGCAAAGTTCCAGGTAAACTAATGAAATTAAGTAACAACATAAAATTGTCTTTCTCTTTCTTTATTTTATGATTTTTTAAAAAAATTATTAGCCTTTAATTTTTTTTGTTTGTCATTTCCTCACTATAATTCATTTTTAATAATTATAAAATAAGCCGTGAGTATGGTTCAGGGAGTCCTTGTGGACCTTGTAATGTCCTTTCTACTTTAAAAACATATTAAGTCTAGGATTAAATTGAAAGGAGTGATTGTGTTTGGCATTTTTTATTTTGTGAGGTGTAAATATAATTTTAAAGCCTTTTTAATATAGTTCCTTATAGGTTTTTTTTTTCTCTTTTGGAAAACATATACTTACTTGATGTTGTGTAGCTATGTTAATTATTTTAGAATAACTTTTTATAAATGAAAATAATTATAAATTGATTCACTTTTCTTCATGACTGTATTATCTTATGTTTAGATGTGTGGAAATAAAATTTTGCTTATATACTTCCTTGTAATCACTTTTAACTGATTTGGGTTCTGATCTACCAGTAAAATCAAAACATTACTAAAATTTTTTTAATTATATGCTTATTACTTTTTTTTTTCTTTTGCAGAGAAAAGAAGCCCTGGAAGCAGTAGCTCAGTTGGTCGTGGAACTGTCCCTGTTAGTGGACGAACTACAAGTTCCAACAGCTTATCATCTATGTCTTCCAACAGTTTCTCCACCAAAAAATCAAATTCTCAAAAAGAAGTGCCAAGTAAAATTTCTTCAATTTGGAAAAGAAGTGAAAGTAGTAGTAGTTCTTCAAATAGTCCTGGAACTGATGCATCAGGTGGTGAAAGAAGTCACCTTAGTGGAGCAAGAAGCAAACCTAACACAGCATCTAAAACTCCTACAGCAAGGTAATTTTTTTCTTCTTTTTTTAATATTTTTATTTAGAGATCTTAATATTATTGCTCGAATTGTTTAAAATTTTTTTATTTTATTTTCATGCTTATATATTTGTTTATTTTTTTAAAAACAGAACTTTCTTATCCTTCAGAACTGTTGCTTCACTTTTCAAGACTACAAAAATAAATCTTTTACAACTCCAGATTTTTGCCTACATAATTGAAATAAAAGATTTTTTTTTTATCCTTTTTTAAATTTCATTGCTAAAATCAAACAGTTTAATTCTTATCTTCTTTTTTTTCTTAAAATTAAATACTATTGATTACTTTTATGTAAGCAGAATTAGTGGTTCTTAGAAAAGAGATATCTGTGTTTAATTGTATCCGAGAAACAGTTGTCTGAAAATTTTTAAATAAATTTTAATTTCTAATTGTATAATTTTGATTTACGTAAAGTTTTTATATGCTCCCTTAGAAATGTAGTTTTTTCCCTTAGAAATGTAGAGAGTACTGCCTTTTCTGTTTCATCTATATCATAAAAATTGCTTCAAAAATATGAGTTCTGCGCAAATGCCCAGTTCTTAGGCATCTACAATATTTTGCATCCTCTGATAAAACTTGTTTTTGTAACAAATTTGTTTTAATAAGAAAATGTTTTTTTTTTTTTTTTGCAAAGTCGCAATCTGTGCTGTGTCCATCAATGCTGGCTTCAAGTTTAATCAATGAAAAAATTAAAAGCTATTTTTAAAGAAAAATTTTCAATTGTATACAATTTTAAAATTTCGTTCCGTTTTTAAAATTTTGCAATAATTTTCTGTGATAAAAAAAATATAAAAGTTTTGTGAGTTAGTAAAATTCAGTGTTCTGATTCTGATAAAGATATTCAATGTTTGTCAGTTTTTGTTGTTTCGTCCTCTTTCTTTTCTTTTTTTAAAATTTTTATTTCTTTATTTTTTTTTTTATTGTCTGGTTCAAATTGATGTACATAGCTTTTATTTCTGGTTAAAGAAATATTCTATACAATTTTTCTTTTACCAGAAGTGAAAGTTTCCTATGATGGTTTTTAAATTTTATTGAGGAAATTGCATGACTAAAAAGATTAACTTCAATAATCTGAACATTGATCATCTGAAGTAGATTCAATCTCAATAATATCAGATAATTTAGGTTCTACTATATTTATAAACAATTAAAAGAGAACATACTAAGTCAGAATCAGTATTTGTTGAAAGTATTTTCAAAATGTCCTGCTTGACTAATACTCCATTCATACACAGAATAAAAAAAAAAGGCTTCTGACACCACAAGCCTGGAAAAAAGAATGTCTCTTCAAATTTACGCCATTTGAGAACCATCCTGTTTAGCAAAAATATCTAGATGGCGTAAAGAGCCATTCATCATGACCCTGAAATCTGGCATGACTTAGAATTGTTTGTCTCTCAACACCTATCTATGAGCAGAGTAGATAAATTTTAAAAAAAAGAAGAGGTTTTAGTTTCTCTTAAAATGCAATATGCCTGATGTAAAATTTGAAGACAGTTAGCTGGAACAAAATAAGGGCAATATCTGTAGAGGGTATGTAATCGAAGGTGAAGAAAATTAGGATTAAAAAAAAAGCTGTAAAAAAATTAATAGTGTATGTTTGGAGATAGTATTGGTAATATGTTTTGTTTATTTTATAGGTCCACTAGTATCAACTCAGAGTCAACAAAAACAACTCTCTCAAGGAGTTCAACATATGAAAAAATAGACAAAATTTCTTCTAACTCTAATAGTAAACCAAAAGTAAACACTCGTTATTCTGCGCCACCGCGATGCAAACCATCTACTTACACAACAAGAAACACTCAAAAAGCTCCACCTGTACCTGGGAAGCCTACCGGAGGTGCAAGAATTGTTAAACCCGTCACACCTAGGCCTAAACCAAATGCAATTACCTCTAGAACATTAAGGCAGTCCTCCACTTTTACACCTAGTTATGCAGCTTCATCTAGCCCACCTGCTTGTATCACCAGTGGAAAAACATATGGGAATTCTCAAACTTCCAAAGTCTCCATACCCCTTGTAACTGCCCCATTCGCTTACAATGAATCTTCTGATTCAATATCTAGTAAAAATGATAGCAATGGGATACATCATGCAAATGACTTGTTTCACAATGTTCACCATTCTTCTACAGTTTTCAACAATTTTGACAAAAATGATAGTGAGTCGGATGATAATAATCTAGCTGAAACATAGTCTCACTTGTGTTATATTAGCTTTATTATTTTGGTACTTACATGTTATTTCAGTATTTGTTTTTGGTGGTCAGATTATATCTACTTTTAGTTCAAAAACAATTTTTGTGTGCCTGCATATATGTTTTGCATTGTTAGCTTGCTCCTTTGTAGAATGTAATGCTATCTAAATGAAGTTTAGTTCTTTGATTATTTTAGAAATTGTGATTGAGAATATTTATACTTAAATCGCCAGTTGTTTACCGCAATTTTTCAAACTAATTCTATTTAATTAAAAAATCTCATACTTATAATCTCAAATCTCATACACCTAATGATAAATTTAAAAAGTGTTTTGATTCCATTAAATAAGCAATTTAAAAGGAAAAATTGAACAAACTTTATTTTTGGTTTGAATATTAAGAAAAAGATTTTTTTGTTTGTTTTCAGACAAAATGATTTTTATATTGTCAAATGCTTAATGCAAAAAAAAAAAAAAAGTGTTTACTATAAAAAAATAGTTATTGGTATTATAATCAAAACATTAATTATTTCTATATGAAATGTTTTTTTTATGATTAAATATTTATAAGAAGATTGAAATTATCGAATGTACGTACATAAGCATTTTTTTTTCATCCAAGTGAAAGTGAAAATTTTGATGGCCAGAAAATTTTAGACCCATTTTTCTTGTATTTCTTCATCGAATTAATTTCATGAGAACAAAGCCCATTTAGGTATAACTATTTTATGTTCGCTAGGCACAACCAGAAAGTAACAGAAATTTAGTTTCTTTTTTCATCAGATTAAGCTTTGGTAATTTCTTGTTTTTTAAAAGCATATGATATTAGCCTAGACAGAAATGGCACATTTAAAAAATACTGCTATCACATGTAAGTTCCAAATTTTTTTTTATATGAATTAAGTTTCATTCCTCTCTTTAAAAAATAAATATGCTATATTGTTTTAGTGTAAGGGATTTCAACAATATGCAGTAATTGCTTTAAATAGTTAATCACTATGTTAATTTTTTGTTTTTAAATCACACTTCTAGTTATATGATGGGCACTGCTCTGCTTTTGACTGTGATTTTTTTTTCTCTCAACAGAATCAATACATTGAAGGAAATGAAGATCATTATTAAATCCTGTTTTTTTAAACAACAGGTTTTTTCTTTCTTCACCAGAATATCTTGTGAATTTAAATTTTTTTAACCAAGCTATACAACTGTGCATTTTAGTACATATTTAAAGTGCCCCATTTAAAAGTTGCTCTTCTAGTTTTATGAATATTTTATACATGACATTTTTATAAAGATGTAAATGTATAATCTGATGTATAATTTTATTAATTTTGTACTTATTTTATAATTTAAAAAAAAATCATTTGCTGAATCTTCAAATCTGTCAGCAAAGATGATTGTACCAAGTCATTGTTTCTAGTCTGAGGAAATTAATACTGATGCAGCTTTGCAACAATAATTTCTTAAAGTTAATGTGTCTTTAATATATGCATCATTTATAACAAATTGGTGTATTGGTATATGCGTGTATTGTTATAAGGTCAATCTTACATTTAGCATCTAGTTAAAAATTTTTTTTTTATTTGATACATATTTTTAATTTTAAGGGTTTTAGAAATGTTCATCATAAAAATTGCTTTTAAAATATTTTATTCTTATCTGGTTGTAATTAATTTTAATTTTGTTCCAGTAAATGAATTATTGAAACATATCAGCTTTTTAAGTTAAAAATTAAATTTAAAACACTTTTTATCAAAATAAATTATAGTTTATTTCCAACCTTTTCTTAATTTATAAATTTATTGAAATTGTGAATTAACTACATTTAATAATATTTACAGTTTCTTTTATTTTTTATGAAATTTTCTCAGTGTGAAGTAAAGAAATAAACATTGTGTTAATTTGATATAATCGAATCTTGAAATTTGATATCAAAGCTTATTTTGACTAAGAATAACACTTATAATCGTTTTCTCCCAATTAGTAATTATTTCAATATTTAAATAACATAGATAGAATATCAAAAAGGAAAAAAAAATGTTAAAAGCATCAACCTCCATATTTCATAAATTTCTTTGTGATACACTTTCATAGAAAACATTTTTTAAAAATTTATTCATAAAATATTATTTTTCCTTAATAGTTATGCTAAGCAATAACATTGTCACATAACAGCAACATTATCACATTTGATAACATTATTCAATATTGACTATTATGTGTGCTTAAATTATTTTGTATTTTTCATTTCAACAATATTATTTATATTGAATACTTCTAGTAATCAAATGTGATTTAAGTTAAGAAATATAAGGAATTTTGATCTGAATTTTGACAATTTATTAACTTAAATGAACTAAAATACTGTTTGGCAAACACGAGATGAACCAGTGAGGTTGTTTCCAGTTAGGTCAGGCTGCATCTCGTATAGGCCAAACAGTATATTTGAATATTTTACTATTATTTTCCATTCAGCAATACTTTATACTTTCATGCTTTGCAGTGTATTTGTCTTGTTAACTTTGTGGTAGATATATAACTTAAACATTTTGCTACTTAACAATTTTTAAATAAACTCATAGACTAATAAATAACCAAAATTGAAATTAAAAAAATTGGATACTGGTTAAACTGTTTTAATATTGGCTGTTAGGGAAATGATTTTATGTATGCATAATATACAAATCTGTTTAATGTTACTAACAGTTACTCTTTGTTGCAATTCCTGAATTTGCACAATTTCATGAACAAATAGAATGTGGTTAAAATATTTTTAACAAACAAAGCATTAACATATTTTTTAAAATTATTTTTTTGCTATTGTAAACTAATTAAACGAATAATTATACAAAATTATTGTTGACATTTCTGTTTCAAAATGAGCGATTTTTAACTTCATCATTTTATTGAACTTTAATATTTTAGTTTAGTAATGTCTGCTCACTGTAAATAAATTCACAGTATAAATTTAATTTGAATTGGAAACTGCATGCTGCTATTATACTATCATAAAATTACAATCCTTTAATAAAAATGTACTACATAATTTTAATATTATAAATCTACAAAGTTAATGATTTAATATTAAATTGTAGAAAAAATCCTAATAGAGAAATATAATGAGAGTATCTTATAATTTATCATCTATTAAATTCTAGTGCTTTACTTTTTAAAAAGACCTATCTAAAATAATTTCCAACCTTTTGAAAAACATTGCTTTAAAATTTTTCAGAAAATCTTTACTTAATATTTAAGCGTTCTGAAAATCTAAACACTTCATCTAATTATGCTCGCAAAATTGTCCAAAATGTATTGGTTGTTATTGCAAAAAAATGAATACGTCCTAAATATGCAAACTAATATTGAACACAATTTACCATATGTTCTTATACTAAAATCTTTATTCCAATTTGTATGGTATTTAGATATTTAATCAAATTATACTCAAAATTGAGTACATTCTTAATAAGACTTATTAAATATATAAACAAAGTGAATATGTTTTAATCCGAATTCCACATATGCTAAATATTTTAACCTTCCAAGTATTTCATCTATTTGAGTGATTTTGTGCACATTTTTCCCAATATATCGACCTTCCGTTAGATAGTAACCAACTAAGCCAATGTTACATGAAAAAATTCTGGATCTGATGCTTGGAAGATTAAAACAAAAAAATGTGTGAAATCACAAATTCATTATAAAATTCTACCACTAGCAATAAAAAAAATATATTTTAGATAAAATTAATGTCTTGAAAATTTGAATTTTTCATGCTTTTGTGATGATGTAAATATTAACCAATTCTTATTACCAGTATTTTATTGCACTGTACCTTCAAGCCAAAGCAACTTGATTTTAATTTTTCTAAATGGTTCTACTTAAGACTATATTTGAAAAGCATATTTTCTTTTAATGAATTTGAATTTTTATGTTTCAAATTTTGTGATATTTAATACTAATTCAAATTCAATGATTTCAATTAGTACTATGTACATTCTTCTCTGCTTTTATTTCGACAATCTTATTTATGTGAGTGTGCCATAAAGTGCTTTTATTTATTTTCTTTAAGATGGTATTATTTAAATTTTGTAAATTAAATGTACAGTTTTTATCTTTATTTTAATTATTGCACTTTTTTGTTATTTGATCATATGTACTCAAGCTGTTAATATAAAACTGGTTTTGAGCATGTGTGTTAATGTGATATGTTAAATAAAACAAAACATTTTATTCAAAGCTTTTATATTATTTTAACACTAGGGCAGGGGTCAGCAACCTGCGGCTCGCGATCCGTATGTGGCTCTTTCGATGTAAACTCGCAGTGTTGCCAATTACATTCCAATTCTATCTCACCCATAGCAGGACTACAGGAACACAGAGTGTTAACGTCAATTTTTCAGAAAAAAATAAACCACGAAATTCCAATGTTTCACCGTATAATTCATCAAGAAGGGCTTTGTGCCTAAATATTTCTGACCGAAATGGTTGAGGTAACGAACTTGGTAATTAAGATTATTAACAGCATCTTGGCAAAACCACTCTACCATCGCCAGTTTTCTGACCTACTTCTGCACAATAAAGTGCGATGGCTTTCCAGAGGTAACTTATTGCAATGTGCTTGAGTGAAATAAAACATTCCTCAATGAAAAAAGCATTGAACATCCGAATTGGAAGAAGACAAATGGCTGCAATAATTCAACTTCATGGTAAATACAGTAGGGAACCGATTATCCGGAACGATACCATCGCTATTCCGGATAACTGATTTTTCCGGTTTTCTGAATCGCTACAAAAAGCCGTTTTTTTTTATTGTTAAACCCAACTAAAAAAAATAATATTTGGAAATAATCTTAAAAAGAAGAAAAAAACGAAGTAATACACTAATGATTATTTCCAAAATGATAGTAAGGTAAACATCTTTCCAAAAAGAAAGAAAAATCTTATGAGGAAGAAAAAAAAATTTTTTGTTCAAAAATGCAAGAAAATTTATTGAATTTCGTTCCGGTTTTTTGATTTCCGGATAACGGGTTCTGTACTGTACCACAATGAAACTAAATGAACTAAACTGAAACTGCAAAGGACAACCCAGCCTACGCCTTGCTTGAAGAAGTAGTTTATTTCATGAACAAATTACATAATCTTGTTGAAGGCATGGAGAGAGGTAAATTACTTCATTTTAAAAATCTGAAGCAATATCTTGAATGCAACTATTGACATGAATTACTTCAGCATAGCTTTAAAAAATATAAAGAATATTCGCTGAGAGATTAAAGCAATTCAAAACAAACAGAAGTAATCTCGCTTTCATAGTAAATCCTCTCAACACAAATACAAATGAGATTAACATTGAGACATTTGGAATGGATGCTGAATATGAAAACCAAAGGCTTGGGGAGTTCACAGAACTCAAGAGCAAGTTGGAGGTTCAAAAATGCATGCACATCGCGCAACACAAGTGGACAGCTCTAAAGGAAATTCTGCAAGTTGATGCCCTCATATTCGGCACATATAAAGCAATATTTGGCAGAATAGTTTTCCAGAATACTACAGTGAAGTAAAGAAGTTGACATATTCGTGCGAGCAAGCGACAAATAAAAACTAACTAACAAATAAAAATTGAGAGTCTTGCTTGAAATTTAAAACAAGTTATTAGCCAGATTTAAACTTTCAAAAGGCATGCAAAGCCAATACTCCCATTGATGGAACTATATATATATTTGTTTTGATATGAATAAACATTATTCCGTATTTAAAGCTGTTTATTTCAAATCAAAAAACAAATGTATATAAAAGCGAATACTGTAAATCAAAAATTTTTAGTGGCTGTTAAAAACTGGGAAATTCTGTATATTGTAATTTTTAGCTCTTCCATTTCAATAGGTTGCGGACCCCTGCACTAGGGGATAATAACCTGTTCGCTGCCACCTACTAACCACAATCACTATTTCTTGGCATAAAAAAAAATTTTCTTCCCAAGTTAAAATTATTCGCTTAAAAAAGTATGTACTATAAGAATTTTATTTGCTTATGCTTGCACCCCTACTATCCAAATCTCAAATTCAATCTCAAAAATCAATAAATTGCAATGTTAAAAAAAAATCTTTAAAAAGTTTGTTCAACTTCAGTAGCCTGTGTGTGAGTCACCTGCTGTACACGAACATAGGGTCAAGTGCCTGTTACTGATTCATGATGAAAAAAAAGGCATATAACAAAAATAGAAAACGATTCTAAAAAAAGGATGGAGCTAATTAAGAATTTTTTTTTGATCCAATTCATTCAGTAATAATTCATTCCTCTGAGGAAAAAAGCAAAAAGAAGTACCGTTTCACACCAACTCCTTTTCATTTGAAAACGTTTTGGATTTCACTTTTTGAACTAGTAATTTTGATATTAAGAAGTCTGGTTTTTCTTTTTTCTTGTCTAGTAATAAAAAATCAGATGGTTATTTTAAAATCACAAGTTCATCGAAATTATAAGCTCAGAACAAGCGAAAAAAACTGGGAATATCAGGACAAAAGGACATCATTCAAGGACAAAAATCAGGACATTTATTACCAAGAAAATTGAGACACCTGTGAACCCTGTACAATATCATTTTCCTCAAAGAAAACAAGAACAAACATACAAAATTTTGTTTATTTTCTATCATTAATTAAATAAAGAATAACATAAGCCAGATATTGATATTTACTAGAAAGTTCTTAAGTGGAATAATCCTGGCAAAATAATTACAAGATTCACTATTTTTATTTAGAATTCTGGGCGTTGCTCCTTGATCTTTTTGTAGTCTGGCTCCTCTTTGATGTGAAGCAACTGAAATAAATTAGAAACAAATTTTTAATTTTTCTGCTTACTCATAGTAAACTAAACAAACCTTAAATAAACAAAGAACCAAAATTTTCTTAAATTTATTATATTACAAATCAGTAATTTGGAAATTACATGGTGTAGGACATAAAAAAAATGAACTAATATTTCTCAGAACAATTTCTTCTATAAATTAAACTTTAAATTATTAACTTTGTATTTAAAATACTTAGTTCATTATATTCTATCAAAAAATCACTTATTTTATAAAATCTGACAAAAATAAAATATGATTACTAGGCTACAAATTCTTAAAATTTTGTGAATTGGTTTCGAATTTAATTTTAATCCCAATTAAATTTTGAAACTTACATTTGAATAAAGCAATTTAGGCAGTTTTAAATAATTTAATATAATATACAATTAATTTGAAATTATTTTATCTCAGTGTTGTATATCCAACAACTTCCTGGCGTCTGATGTAAATTGTTCATTTTAAATGTAAATTAAAAAATTTAATTAATAAACACTGAAACTTATTCTGATAATGTTTGAAATTTTTTAATTAAATGCTCCCTTAAATTTAAGATGCTCTCTTTCTTGTTAATTAGAACGTGTGGATCATTGCGTTTTACTGCATTTTCCACCTTGAAGAATATTTTTTCTTTATGTCTGGCCATTTAAAATCACCTTTTGAACTAAACATACCATACTAGATACATTTTGCTATACATTTGTTTCACTTATTGCAAATATATATGTACATTGTTCTTCCTCCCTGCTTGCCCTTTGATTCCAATAAATGCCCCTATTTGCCCATTTATCCCTTAAAAACACTGCCTTTTTATTCAGATACCATTTCTTAAAAAAAAAAATTCATTAATAATTACACATAAAAAAATTAATAATTACATATTGGTAAAATTATCCGTGTTTATAGGTTTAATTCTGATTACTATTACAAATACTTTGTTAGGATTATTATCAACTTGTATCTCTTTTGGGGAGGGGAAAAAATATGTGCCAAGAAACATGTTTATTATATAAAAATATAACATTACCTTATATCTTTTTTCTGCATATTCTTGATAAGGCTCAGGATTGGCTGATCTCCTCCAACTGAAAGCAAATAAATTGCATTGAGCAAAATATTTTATTATAAAGGCTAGTTATTGAATAATACTATAATAAAATAAACTATAAGGTTTACATTTTTAATTACTGATAGAAGGATTAATTAATTATTGGTAGAGGTATTAATTACTGTAACCTCTATGCTAAAGCATATTCAATCAATGGAATATTTAATCTAATTAGTATTGTGTGTGGCAAAGTTGGAAAGAATTACTTTCAACATTTACGTTAAGTAAAAGGCAAAATTAGAGGTTGCGGCTCAGGTAACTTATTAATAATAGTAAGATTCAAAATTTCCTAGCAAAAAATAAATAAATCAAATAAAAAATAGTTTTTAATGAACTTTCATTAGAACAGCATGCCTCATCTCTACTGCATACTATTAGATCAGAGCTCATTCTAGGCAGAAAAAAAGGCAGGGAGCAAAAGTTTTAAAGAAAGGGCATTATTATTCTAAAAAGGCTAATTTCTTTCTATGGACTTTACACGTTCTATTAAAAAACATTGTCAATAATTTTTTTTTTTTTTGCTTAAGTACCAAAGCAATCATATTAATTACTAATTTTTATTAATAAATTAACATATATACATGAGTTAATGAGCTAATTTAGCTTAGTAATTTATTTAAAATGCATGCATATATGAATAAAATAAAAAATGTATGTTTTTATGTGTCTGTAGTTATGATTTAATAATTAAAATGATTAATAATAATTATGATTTAATGATATTGAAGTAACTGCAAACTTTCAAAGACAAGTGCAACATGGGGGAATTATGGCTATTTTTCCTTTCACATATAAATCTATGTATTGACAGCAATGACAAACTAAATAAAAAGAGTTGAAAATAACAAAAGTTTAAGAAATCCATTGTAGAGTTTGGGGAAAAAAATAAAATTCTAACAAAAGAAAAGTGTAATGCTCATAGGAAGAAAGTGTAAAAAAACTACATACATATTTTAATGACTAATATAAACTGGAATTAAATATTTAGTTTAAGAAAATTTATAGGGTTTAAACCGATACCAAAAATTAAAATAAAACCATTATATTGCAAAATAGGATTCAAAATTCATTTGGTATTATACTTCAGATATTATTTCTATTTCTTGAATTATAAGAGGTTATATAAATTTTAAATAGGAACCGTTTTCTTTCTAGTCTTTTTTTCCTAAAAAGTCATATAAGCTACAAAAAATAAACAAAATTACAAACAGTGAGTAGGGTGACTCGGGGTAATTCACGATCACTCTGTTTCTGGGGTAAATAATGATCACCTAAGTTTTATTTAAAAAAAAAACTTTTTTTTTTCAAATTTGAGACATGGACAAGAATGCTTGTACACTTTACTAAAGTATAACTACATTTACTTAATAATAGTTTTTTGTTTAATCAAACAAAATAAGTATCTTTTAAACTGCTTTCTGTATTTTCCATTTCAAAGATGGGCACATTTCTGCAAAGATCCCCCTCCTTCTCTTAATAATAAATATTTTGAGTTACTTTCTTTTTCTTTGATATAAAAGTAGTGTAAGCTTTTGTTTAATTATTTCACATCTACTGTAAACATTATAATTGATTATAGGAAACTATATCAAATGTTGCCCCCTACAGATGGGGTAATTATTGATCACTGGGGTAATTCCTGATCATTGTCATTTCTTCTTATAAATAGTATATAAAATAGCTA